TCAAGTGGTAGAGCGCTCGCCTTGAGCTGAAGAACTGAGGGACAGCGCCCAGGCCCAGAGTTCAGGCCCCACAACTGACAAAAATAAAGAAAAAAAAAAAAAAAGAAATGCCTGCTTTCTGTCTTAATGATAGACCAGTTCAGAAAGGCGTGGTATGTTTTTTGTTCTAACTCCCCTGAAATAAAACTAAGAAAAAAAAAAGAGTGTCTAGATTTGGGTGAGCTAAAATTATATGTTGGCCTTTGGTTGTCCCAGCTTTCTTACTTTGAGCTTTCATAATAATGGAGTGACTTCTCACCTCAGTTTTCATCCTGATGTGCCAAAAGAAAGTCCCTGGGGTAAGATTCCACCAATAGATCTCAGTTTTCCTAATCTCAGATTATATTTTTTCTTTGTGTGTGTGTGTGTGTGTGCATGTACTGGGGTTTGAACTCAAGGCCTGAGTGTTGTCCCTGAGCTTTTCCACTTAAGGCTGGCACTCTACTACTTGAGCCACAGCTCCATTCTAGTTTTTTCGTGGTTACTAAAGAGTCTCAGGAGCTTTCCTGCCGGGGCTATTCTCCAACAATCCTAAGATTTCATCCTCCTGAGCAGGGTCACAGGCATGAGTCACCTGTGTCCAGCTATTTTATTTTATTTTTTTTTATCAGTACTTGGGCTTTGAACTTGGGTCCTGGGCACTATTCCTAAGTTTTTTTTTTCTTTTTGTTCAAGGATAGTGCTCTACCACTTTTGTGAGTGTGTGTGTGTGTGTGTGTGTGTGTGCGCGCGTGTGTGGTTAATTGGAGATAAAAGCCACATGGACCTTTCCTACGCAGCTATGGCACTGGCTTGTTTGTTTGTTTTAGTTGGTTCTGAAAACATTTTTTTTTTCCTTTGGATCACCTATGGATAATGAAGTAAGGAGACTGGGTCCATGCTTCCGCTAGATAATTGGCCTTGATTTCCCCTGATTGTTTCCCTAGATGGTTTGCTTTTCTATTAGGTTTAAGTGTCCTCATCTGGTTTGCTTTGCTCATTTGATTCCACACACCTTGTATGGTTTTGGTCCATATAAGCTTTGTACTAGTTGCCTTCAAAGCTGCTGGTCTTTCAGACATGAGTCCATCAGCACTCCTCCGGCTCTCCAATAAAGACTCATTGGTCTGTTAAGTGGTGACATCTCTGTTTCTTGCAACTGAGTTTCCTTAAAAAAATACGTCTCTTAAGTTTAAAATATATATATATCAGGGGTCATTCCATCTTCTGCTGAACACAGTAGTTTATACTACTAATTAACATCGAAATCATCCCGTGGATCTCCTCTCTCTAGATAATTTTAATGGTCTGGAAGGTACTCAATGTCCCAAATGGGTATTTTCCACATTAACCCTACTCCCCTATGCTGTTTCCATCCCATAGTTGTGGATTGTATGAAATCCTTTTATACGCAGCAGCCTTCCTGCCTC